GCAATTATTTTTTTTAAATAAATCTCGTTAATGAAATGAATAACTAAAAGTTTTTTTGCATTAATTACGCCTATTTTAAATAAACATAAAAGGTCCATGTCTCACAATTCCACCAAAATGTATGACGAAGATGACGCTAATAATGATGCTAATAATAATGGCGCTGAGCGCCTATCTCAGTCTCAAAAATCCTACGATCATTCTTCCCATTCTTCACACTCTTTCCCTTCCAACCAAAATCAAAACGATATTATTAATAATGACTCTTTACAACCTCAACAATCAAATATATTAAAAAATTCCAATAATAGCAATACAAATTTAAGCATCAACCCAAGCACTAATTCAGCTGAGAGATATAGTAAAATATTCCCGGATTTCTTCTCAAATTCTTCTTCAAATAACTCTTTTAGGAATTCTATTTCAAAACGTAGTTCTAATATTATACACCCTTATCAAACTCCTACCCAGAGAAGAGATCCCGACCTTGATGATTTTAATTCAAATAGTGATCAACACGAACCCTTAAACGCTCATCAACATAAATCTTATTTGTCAACATCATCATCTCAACCTTCCTCCTTACAGAATATCCCAAATAATAATAAGAGTGAAAACCTATTTTTCCAAAAAAGAAAAAAAGTGTTCTGCTTATGCTGTGGTGTCATAGCCTTAATAATATTGATCATGATTCCTATCTTTTTGTTTGTGATTGCTCCTTCTGTCGCTCGAAATGTTGTTGCTGAATCAAAAATATCATTCAATGATGTAAAATTATCTAATATTTCTGAAGATAACTTTTCTTTGTCCTTTACCGGTGCCGGTAAATATATTTTCCAATTTTCCTTTTTACTAATTTTATTTTGTTACCTTTTTATATCTTTTGGGTATATTCTTTAGTCTCAAACACCGGTCCGCTCTCGGCATCCATATCAATTCCTAAAGGTGTTACAATCTCTTTTAAAGATGTGACGTTAGGTAGAATGGCTTTGGACACGATTAATACCACACCTTCTAGTGGTGCTACTCTCGAATCTACTAAAGTATTTAAAATAGTGGACAAGAGTGCCTTTTCAAACTTTAGTAAATTTATGTTGACTGAAAAAGAATTTACCTGGCATTTAGAAGGTAGTTCTATGATTAAGGTTTCTGGTTTGACCATTAACGACATTGAATTATCAAAAGATGTCACTTTGAATGGTATTTTTATTTAATATTATGTTTTCGCTCAATTGATACATTAAATTATTAAATTGATACATTATATATATATATATTTATTTATTTATTTATTAATATAGGAATGAATGATTTTCCAAGCGTGACTGTTAATAATTTTGATGCTCCTAATGACCATCCTGATGGTGGAATTGCAATTTCAATTATATCCACGATAAATAATCCATCTCAAATTAGTGTTGAATTAGGCGATATAATGTTTGATATTGATCATATGAATCAAACTATTGGTCAAGTTTGTTCGAAAAATTTCACTCTTATGAGGGGTGATAACAAACTTTCTCTAGAAGGTCGTTTGTTACCTCAAAATTCATCTGCTGGAGTAGCGGCTGTCAGTGATTTGTTTTCAAAATTTATTGTTGGCAAAGATTCTTTAATTAATGTTGTTGCTAGAACAGTTAAACCAAATAATTCGGATTCTCCAATTTCTTGGCTTCAAGATGCATTTAACGGAACTGTGTTGAATGTAACTTTTCCTGGAAGAAAAAATAGGCGTAATTAATGCAAAAAAACTTTTAGTTATTCATTTCATTAACGAGATTTATTTAAAAAAAATAATTGC